TGCCATAGACGAGTGTATAATGATAGAGTAACACAAAATAGGTAAGTAAATCATGCATTGATTCCATGTTTGAGCTAGAATAGTAGAGATTTGGGGGTGACGACGCTAGGGTTTGACAGAAGAGAGGAGAGGAGTAGAGAGCATTTAGGGGCGGCGAGTGATGAGAAATAGGTTAGGGTTAGGGATTTGGGTAATTAAAAGGGCGGGGTTAAATGTGAGCCGTTAATCTTAAAGATCAACGGCCGGGATTTTTAGAAGAGACTGGGTCGGGTTGGCTAGGCGGGTACCGACCGGGTTTAGTAAGGGGCTGTTTGGTGTGGGTTTAGGGTAATTGGGCTAGGTAAATTGGGTTGGTTTGGGTAATTCTAGGTTCGAATTTAAATAAAAATGGGGCCAGATTTTAAATACCCAATTTTAACAAATAAATAATTTATAAAACTAATAAATGAATACCCAAAATATTCTTTTGTGCACTAAAATGATTTGAAATGGTTGTTTAACATTTTTAAAATATTAAAGATCATTTTTTGCATAAATAATATAATTATACATTAATATGGAGTATTATTGCAAAGATGTGCAATTTAGCCTAAAAAAGGCAAATGCAATTATAAAAATGCACTAAAAATATTTAAACACTATGTTGGGATAAATGTTGAATTTAGATGATTAAATCATCATAAAAATAATTTTAATGCAATTAATGATTATTTATGCAATAAAATATGGGAATAAATTGATTAATTTTTTTTAAAACTATGGAAAAATTAGAAAAATACTTGATGATGCTTATGCACTATTTTGAAAGTATATATGCATGTTTGAAATATGTAAGGGAAAAATTGGGTATCAATAACTGTTGTATTTCCTCTGAAGCACACAATAATGTTGCAACCGAGATACCCACTCTAAAGAGACTTTCTGTTAATCTGAAGATGCTTCTCTAACTTTTCTAATATTGAAATGTCAATTTAGCAGTAATACAGATATACCGCATATATACCCCAACCCAAAGTTGATATAACACTTGCCCATGCAATGTGATTGTCGATCGTAAACTCCCCGACTTGGCACGAAGCCATAGGACACAACATTCGATGATCCACAATACCAGCCTTCACAAGCTCGTACAACACAAATCAGATGTAAGAACCCGTTGCATACCACACCTGAAAAACTAAAGATATACCAACACGTCCACATTCGCAGTCTGGACAATACCTCAAGACAATGATCAAGCATCTATGGCCCTCTCGTAGCCCATTCACAACATTCTGATCCATTGAAGCATAGCTAATACCGAGTGCACATCATCATGTACGAGTGGATGTAAAGGAATATAAGATGTATGCTTCAAGCTGAATCAGTGTCGCACGACAAGGAAGGAAATTCAGGTTCTCTTTTAAAAGGATTGGATTTGCTGCTTGCCTTCCGCACCTTGATCTGTCTAGTTCTATTTTGACTAATCCGAATCTGTGTACTGAGTAAAAGCGAAATATCTTCTCTCAATTCTTGGCAAAGGGAAGCCCCATGATCGACCGAACCGAGGCTGGGGTAGATAGAGGAAGAGAAGATTGTGAATATCCTAATAGTTTCATAGCCTCTCGAAGATAAGTGCAGACGTCTCCGTACCGATCTGCAAGATTCTATTAAACCTGCTTATGACTCGTAGCACTTATGAACCTTGAGCTCTGTTACTAACTTATCAAGATTCCACTTTCTCACCTTAGGATGTCGTGATGTCACCTAGTCTATAAGATTATGTAAGCCTAATCAACAAGGAAATATTATAGAAATAACTATTACAATTAAGAAATAAAGCTAATAAGTCTTATAATAACTCCAATACAAATCAAAATACAACATTCATAAAATCCGGTGAAACTGAGTCATAAGATCTATAGAAATATACTAAAACCACTAATACATCATTTTATGATAAAAGAATAAACAGTAATGGGAAAATAATTGAAGGTGACTCCGGGGCATGCGATTTCAAGCAAGTATACCTTGAATTCTCCAGCTTCACAGATACAACTCTCAACTATATAATCAAAAGTACCTGGATCTGCACAAAAATTTATAGAAGCGTAGTATGATTATACCACAAGGGTACCCAGTAAGTGTCAAGACTAACCTCGGTAGAGTAGTGATGAGGACAGGTCAAGACACCTACTAGACATAGAAACATATGCAAGATATGGCATAAAACTAACAATGAAAAGAACATCAATGTAGTACAAACTACGGAAGGATTATAATTTGCAACCAACGACGAAGATAATGGATACTCAAATGCCAGCAAGAAGTAGACAGGTAATAGAACACCATCATAATCAGAACAACGATGGGATATGAATACACTCAATAAGTAAAACAGATAATAACTTAATTAATCAAATCGTTCTCAACGCATGAACTTGCAACAACATTTACCCTAAGGCACCACTCCTCGAAATCACAAATCATGATCCATAATTTTCAAATCTTTCACGTATGGAACCTCATGCCTACAATAATAATATCATTCGCATAGCAAAACCCTCATACTACCATGTACATCGCATCCGTATCAATATCAATTAAGATGATCGAGAGATATATTTAAACACAATAAATTATAATAACAATCCTGAATAAAGTGATGCGTCAAATGAGATAATAAATTTATTTTAGGATTCAAATAAAGTATAATAAAGGACAGGTTGTACAAATAGTGTATCTGATGGGTTTAGTATGGAAATTAATAAGATAAAGTAAAAATAGCATATCTAAACAAAGTAAAATATCTGTTAAATTAACGAATTAAATATAGAATTTGTTAAAAATAAAATGTGATAATAACTTTAAGTAAAGCAAAGATCAATAGTGTGATGAGTAAAATTTGAGAACTCAATTAAAGTAAAAATGTGATAACCATTTAAAAATAGTAAAGCACCGAGTGAGATAAAGATTTCTATCTTAAGAGACACATAGAATAAGATATGTTAATAATTCTTTTATTTAAAATCGTTAAGTTACCAACAACTCAACAGAATATGAGATAATGACATAACACAAGTAAATTCACATTAACATTCAATTTACCAAGTAATAAGTGAGGCACATATTGGCACATTAGAGTAACATAACTAATCACGTGGAAGGCATGACTCGCACAAGAAGTCACTATCGCTCCAATTCTGGATTAAAAAGGTCAACCAAATATGATCATATACCAATGAAATGATTTAAGGAAAAACAATAACTATTCAACCGATAAGTTGTTCCAACATAAAACGCATCATGAAAAGAACAATTTATGATAACTTGCTCTCACAACAATTACAACAGGGGTTTCGTGATGCCAAGGTAGACTTAGGTGTTGAGGATTGTTATTGGTACAGTTGAAGGAAGGAATTCATAAACATAATACCATGTCTTTTTCTCTTGGCATGGTTGATGCTACCCTAAGTACCAAGCGCAACTATGTGTTCCAAATATGGATGGGCTCCGGGGGAGAATCATGATCGAGGCTCACACATCTAGATATTCCGTGTGCATAGGCTCTACAAAAATGTATCATGACCTTAAGGAAGTCTACTGGTGGAACGATATAAGAGGAATGTAGCGGACTTTGTGGAAAGATATAAGGCCGAACACCAAAGGCCCGATGGGTTGGCACAAAACATTGAGATTCCAATGTGGAAATGAGAGATGATCAATATGGACTTCCATCTACAGACCGACAGGCAGGTAGAGCGTCCTATTCAAACGTTTAAGGATATATTGCGCACTTGTGTTCTTGACTTTAAGGGTAGCTGGGATTATTATTTGCTGCTCATAGAATTTGTCTACAATAATAGTTATCATGCTAACATTCAGATAGCACGATTCAAGGCTCTATATGGTAGGAGGTATAGATCTCCTATTGGGTGGTTCGGGACTGTGGAAGCAGAGTTCATAGGACCAAACCTCGTGCATCAAGCGATGGAGAAGGTTATGATCATTAAGGAGCGGTTGAAAATTGCTCAGAGTCGTTTGAAGTCCTATTTGGATGTTCGTCGTAGGGATTTGGATTTCAAATAAGATGATTGTGTATTCTTAAAGGTTTCCCCCATGAAGGGTATAATTCGGATTGGTAAGAAAAGAAAATTGAGTCCAAGGTATATCAGACCGTACAAAATAATTCAGAGGATTGGTCAGGTGGCTTATAGGTTAGAACTACCTCCTGAAATGTCTTTAGTGCACCCGGTGTTTCATGTATCCATGTTGAAGAAGATGGTTGGAGATCTGTCGATTATTGTTATGGTTGAGACTATAGAGGTTACTGAGGAATTGACTTATGAAGATATTCCAGCTGTCATTCTTGATAGGCAAGTCTGAAAGCTGAGAAATAGGGAAATTGCATCTGTGAAAGTGTTATGGCAAAACCGGCAATTATAAGAGGCCACTTGTGAGGATGAGGAGGCCACAGGAAGTACCCCCATTTGTTTAAATGACTATGTATTTAAGGTGGCTATGTTCTATGAAATCTGCAAAGAGTTTATCTTCTATGAATTATGTTTCACCTGTACAACTTCATGTTAAGGATGTTTCTTTGGGTAGTATAATATTTATAACGTTGTAGCCGGTGTTGTCTCCATAATTGTGTTACATCGTTGTGTTATGGTCTATTTTGGAGGGTCGTTTTACGGTCCAATATGCGACCGCATAATATTTTTGCGGCCCGCATAATCCCTCGCATATCCAGCACAAAGATTTTCGAAGAAAAATTCTGCGGTGCATTTTACGACCGCATATCTAGTCTGCAGAATACAATTACCATAAGTAGCGCTATGGAGACGGTTTCTAAGGCGATATAGTAGGGTTATTTGTGGGAACGATTTGGTAAAATAAGAGTGTATTGGAACGGTTTATTTTTCATGCATTTCTTTTCCTCCTACATATATTTATTAAAAAATTAAAATGTAAGGCCCTACAAGCATTTTAATAACTACTTCTAATTTATATTTTACATTTTAAAAGACACACTCCTATGAAATCTTCCGTCTCTCTCGTTAGAAACTCACCCCTCTTTTAAACTTTAACCTAGAATAAAAAATCGACCAAAATCTACTGCCTACTTCGACCAAGGAAGACCGATTCCGGTGAAGGAAGACTGATTCTGGCGAAGGACATCCACTTCGGCTAATGAAAGACAAAATCCAATGTTGGCTGTCAGTGTTTCTCCCTGTTTGGTGTTTATATAGAATTTCGATGGTTCGCTGAAAATTGCTTCGCTAAAAAATTGTTTTGCTACTTTGCCGGTTTTCTTTCTCTGGTAATATTTCTCATACACCCATCATTTTACTTATGTTCTTTGTCTGTTTTATATGATAATTTTTATGATTTCTAATTTTTAAAATTGGGGGTTTTGTTGGTGAATTTTTAATTCGTATTAGAAATCATGATATTTCCGTTGTTCGATGTTTGTTATCGATGTTCGATGTTGGTTGTCTTGTTTGTTATTCTGGAAAATCGTTTCGATGTTCCTTCTTTTTTTCTTTTGTAATATTGCCGATAAACTAATAATTTTACTTTTGTTTGTTGTTTGAATTATACATTTTGTGATTTCATTTTGTTTTTGTGTCAGAAACAAAGATAAACCCATTGTGATTTCTGTTTGATGTTAGATATTCGCCATCTTGTTCGTTATTCTGAAAAATCATTTCGATGCTTTTTTTGGTGGTAATATTGCTGAAAAATCACAACTTCATCTCAATGTTATAAAAATATAACTAGTGATACACTAGTTTTTGGCATTTCTTATATAGTTTAGAAAAACTTTAACCCCATTATTTTTAACGAGTGTAAAACAATGAAAAGCTCCTTTTGGCCGTCTGGGAGGCCAATTCTTGGTTCATATTAAAAATGGCCTCCCACCAAAATAATGTTAGTTGATGGACTTACAGAGGGTTATTTATGGGAACAATTTGCTAAAATAAAATATTTATTAAAAAAAATTACCACGAGATTTAGTGTTATATGAAACCATGAGATTTGCCTTACGTAGCTATTTATGTGATGGTTTTGGTGACTGTTAAATTTTACAACAATGAAATCCATATAATTTTGACAATAAGTGGCTTTTCTGTATCTTTCTTATTATCTGATTCTTTTTATTAAGAGTATATAAATAATTTTTATACTAGTTGTTTTGGTGTCATATAGGATAAAACTAATTTAATGGATAATGGAGTTAAAAGGTGGATGGACCTTCGAAGGTCAACTGATGAGTACATACAAGGAGTGAATAAATTTCTTGATAAAACATTTGAACGAGCTTCCCAAGCAAATCAAATATTATACCTTTGTAAAGAGTGCGCTAATTGTTTTTGGTATCATAAGAATATGGTGGAAGATCACTTGATTGTTAATGATTTTATTCATGGATACAACAAATGAATTTTCGATAGGGAAGGATTCTCCTCGAGAATGACTCCATGCCCAAGCAGTAATGATGAAGGTTTTGACATGTGTGACGATATTGATGGATTACTTCATGATACATTTCGAAATGTCGAGGATGATTTGAGACATAATGGAGTGAGGGATGGACCATTGGAAGATGCAAAAAATTCTTTAAATGAGTAGAAAAGGGGAAAGAAGAATTACATCCAGGGTGTGATAATTTCTCCAAATTAGGTTTTATGATTCGGTTGAACTTGTTTAAATGCACTCATGGGATGAGTAATGTGGCATTTATAGACTTGTTGGAATTGTTAAAACATGCATTCCATTTGTTCAGCTACCCGAGTCTTTCTACAAGGAAACAAGCATGATAATATATTTGGGTCTTCATTATGAAAAAATGCATGCATGTCCTAATGATTGCATATTATTTTGGAATGAAAATCTAAATATAGATACTTGTTCTGTGTGGGTCTTCTAGATGGAAGAATGTTGTTAATATCTTGACTAATAAAAAGCCTAAAACCCCTGCAAAGGTTTGAAGGTACTTTCCATTAAAGCCTTAGCTTCAGAGGATATTCATGTGTCCCGAAATAGCTGTAGCTATGAGATGGCATGCCACTGAACGATTGAATGATGGAAATATAAGACATCCTGCTGATGGTGATTCTTGGAAGGAATTCAACTCCTTGCACCCTGAGTTCTCTAGCGACCCTCGCAATATTAGATTGGGTCTTTCAAGTGATGGTTTCAACCCGTTTCGAACAATGAGCATTTCCCATAGCACGTGGCCTGTTATGTTAATGAACTATAATCTATCGCCTTGAATTTGTATGAAGCCAGAGTATATATTGTTATCAATGATCATCCCAGGTCCTTCATCTCTAGGAAATGATATAGACGTGTATCTATAACTACTAATTGCTGAATTGAAGGAACTATGGGAATTCAGTGTAGAAACATTTGATGTCGAATCCAACTAGATGTTTCAAATGCGTGCAACGTTAATGTGGACTATTAGTGATTTTTTTGCACTAGCAATGCTATCTGGATGGAGAACAAAGAAAATTTGCATGCCCCACTTATAATTGTAGCAAATGCTCTCAATATCTCAAGCATAGTCGTAAGATGTGCTACATGGGTCATCGGGCATTTTTGCCTCCTGAACATCCATTTCTGTCATGACCCAATTTCCCTCCATATAACGTCGTGATGACACGTAGTCTCTACAACTAGGTAAGCCTAATATTTGCGAAAAAGTGAATAGGCAGTGGGATCTCCCAAAATATCATTTTGTAGTCCCAAAAGTAAATACACAACTTAAACAATAGAATTGACAGCTAAAACTGGAAATAACTACAATAAGGCTAAGTAAAAGTCAAGGAAAAATAAGATATTCACTAAACATGCTGCACGGAGTTCAGCTAAATAATTAAGGCAAGTAGACAGGGTATTCTAATCTAACCAAGTACTACACATGCTGATATAACTCAAATAAGAAGGACACAAGTTATTACTTAGCAAAAATTGGAATTTTACAACAATTAGCCTATGTACGTACTCGTCACCTTACGTACACGATGCTCAAATATCAAAAATAGTACCAAATTCTTAGGGGAGTTCCCCCACACAAGGTTAGGCAAGCCATTTACCTCGAACCAAGCTCAAATCAATCTGTAACAATGCTCTTTCCATATAAGCTACTGGGACTGAATAGACTATAGGGGTATTGTAATGACCCGGCCGGTCGTTTCATGAGTTACCGCTCCGTTTTCCCCACTTCTACTTCTTATTGTCGGGTTTAGCTGTATTATGTGTTATCGGGTTGGTTCGGGTTCGGAGAGGTGTTGGAAAGGACTGAGACACTTAGTCTCTTTTGAGTAAGCTTAGGTTGGACAAGTCAATCGGATGTTGACTTGTATGAAAAAGGGCTCAGATGTGAATTCCAATCGGATAGCTTCGAGAGTTGATTTGGGATTTAGGAGCCTGATCTGAATGTGTTTTGGAGGTCCGGAGTAGACTTAGGCTTGAATTGGAGAAATTGGAATTTTGGCATTTTCCGGTCTATAGGTGAGATTTTGGTACAGGGGTCGTAATGGAATTTCGGAAGTTGAAGTAGATCTGTTGTGTCATTTATGACGTGTGTACAAAATTTCAGGTCATTCGGACGAGGTTTGCTAGACATTTTGATCGAAAGCAGAATTTGGAAGTTTTTGGAATTTCTTAGGCTTGAATCTGATGTCAATTTGGTATTTTGATGTTGTTTTGAGCATTCTAAAGGTTGGAACAAGTTTGAATGAGGTTATGGGATACGCTGGCATATTTGGTTGAGGTCCCGAGGGCCTCGGGTGAGTTTCGGATAGTTGAACGGATCAAATTCTTGTTGGAAAAGTTGCAGAAAAACTGTTGTTGGTGTTGCAGACATTTGGCCTTCACGTTCGCGAAGGGATATGGTGTGAGGCAGGAAGGTTGGCCTCGCGTTCACGATGGGAGTCACGCATTCACGAAGAAAGATTTAGTGGTCAACGGATTTTGTGCTTCACGAATGCGAGGCATTGACCGCATTCGCGAAGATGGAATGCGAATCACTGGGCATAATGTTTTAAAGGCCACTTTCGTGATTTTTGGCCATAGTTCACCATTTTTTACTCGGTTTTGGAGCTTCTTGAGGGATATTGAAGAGGAAATTAATGGAAAACACTTGGAGGTAAGATTTATGGACTTAATACTTAATCCTATTGTGATTTCTACCTAATTTAACATGAAATTTATGGAATCCAAAGCTTAAAATTCGAGGGTTAGGGCTTGGAATTTGAGGATTTGAGGGGCCATTTGTGGTCGGATTTTGATGTATTTGATATGTATGAACTCGTGAGAGTCTAAGCATTCTAGTTTTGTGATTTTTATCGGGATCCAAGATGTGGGCCCGGGGGTCGGGTTTGGCCAATTTCGGCATTTATTTATGTAAATTAATTATTTTCAAGTGAGCTTTGTTTCCTTAGCATATTTTGATGGTATAAATCTGTTTTTGGTTAGATTTGGTGCATCCGGGGGCCGATTCGAGAGGCAAATGCATCACGGGCTAGAGTTTGGACCGGATAGAGGTAAGTAATGATTGTAAATGGTGTCAAGAGGGTATGAAATCCTAGATTTCACATCGTTGTGCTACTTTAAGGTGATGCACACGCTAGATGACGAGCATGGGGTCGTGCACCGTTGGGGATTGTGACTTAGTCCGTCTCATATGACTGTTAAACCGCGTATTTGATGAAAACTGTTTGATATCATTGTTTTTGGAAAGTATCATCATGTTTTGGGCTGAATGCCATATTTGGGCCTCGTGTCAACTATGTTGGGACCCTTAGGGGATTTTTACTACTATTCCTCATTACTTTGACTTCATATTTGTACTCAGTCATGTTGTATTCTACTGTTTTCATAACTCAGCCATATTTACTCCGTTTTGACATTTTTAAATGATATTTTGGGCTGAGCATCATGTTTTACTGTACCCGAGTGGCTTGAGAGATTTCTGGCTAAGTGAGGCTGAGGGCTTGTGTTGTGAGGATATTATGAGATCGGGTTGCGTACCGTAGCAGTGTTGCACTAATTCATGATTATGAGCCGAGGGCCTGATTTGTTACGTCACGAGGCAGCATGTTATGAGGCCAAGGGCCAGTTTGATTATGCCACGAGATAGCTTGATATAGCGCTTGGGCTGTAGGAGCCCCTCCAGAGTCTTCACACCCCCAGTGAGCGCGGGTACCCAGTGTGAGATGTGTTATTGCCCGAGGGACTGTTGTTGTTTCATGTTATTGCCCGAGCAGCTGATACGAGTAATTGTGAGGTAGCCCAGGGGGCTGGTTTTGTTGGTAATTTGCCCTAGGGGCGGTTGTGGTACTTGTTTTGCCTGAGGGGCTTATTTATGTCTCTACCCTTTTCTTGCTGATTTCATCACTCGTTTGAACTACGGAAAGATGTTTTGAAAAGGTTTTTACTGAACTGAGATGTTTTTACGTTACCGCTTTACTGCATTATCCTGGTTTTATACTGTCTTGTTGTAGCATTATGCTGTGTTTTACGTATTTTCTTACTGCTCAGCTACCTTTACTTTTAGTACTTGCTGAGTTGGCGTACTCACATTACTCCCTACACCCTGTGTGTAGATCTAGGAGTCTCGGGTCATGCTAGCAAGTGCTGATTTACTTTCTAGCAGGCTTGTTTGGAGTTGACTAGCTAGCTACTCGGCGTTCGCAGCCTAGTGCTTCTCCTTCCTATCTTTATTTCACTTTGTAATAGCTTTGTATCAGACTATGTTGTCTTTTCATACTCTTAGACGAACTGTAGATGCTCCTGATTGGTGACACCCCGATGTCGGGCTGTGTTTGTTTCCGCACTATTTTATTTTACTCTATATTTTGGGATTTTTAGCTCATTGCTGACTTTAAGTGACTTATTATAACTGTCTAGTTGGTTTGGGGGTTTGTGTCGGCTGGCCTAGTTTCACGATAGGCACCATCACAATTGGGTCTATTTTAGGGTCGTGACAAGTTGGTATTAGAGCCTAGGTTACATAAGTCTCACGAGTCATGAGCAGGTTTAGTAGAGTCTCGCGGATCAGTACGTAGATGCCGGTATTTATCCTCGGAAGGTTGCAGAACCTTTAGGAAATACTTCATATTCTTGAATTCTTGTCGTGCAAATCTGTTGATCTGAGTACTAAACTTCTGTTATTCTATTCTCTCACAGATGGTGAGGAAATGTGCTACCGGTCAGGATGGACAACCACCAGAACCACTAGCTGGGGCCACTAGAGGGCGAGGACGGGGTCGAGGTCATGATAGGGGCAAGGGTGTAGNCTACTGTTTGCGGAATAATAAGTACATAAAATAAAGAACACAAAGATTTTTACGTGGAAAACACATGGCTCAAAAGGTGAAAAAATCACGACCTACTACTCAGTATGATTCTCCCAAACTTCCACTAAAATCACTGAGCCAAAACAGCATTTGCAAAACTCTTTGTAAACCTAAGGATTAACTCTAATCCCGTTGTGGCACACAACCTCAACTGTTGCGACAACTTCAAGTTAGCTATAACTTGAACACTTTAAGTACTTAATACAATTGTTTCTATGAAAGCTGAAAGGTACAACTTTAAACCACCTACTACAATTGAACTAGAATAAAAGAAAGACACAATGAAATTAGTTCTTTTATCTCATTCAAGTAGCTTCAGGAATGCATACTCAAATCTCACATAAATTGCTTGCAAAATCATCTTGCTCTTTTGCTCTCAATTTAGTTTAACTTCTGCATTTGTGCAATACCCGTAAA